TCAAACACACACTTTGTTGATTTAACATAGAGCTTATACTCTTTCAGAGTTGTAAGCACTTTATCAAGATACTTCAGATATTCATTATATGAGTTTGAAAAGACTAGAATGTTATTAAGATATATAAGATATGAGATTTCATTCTATTTATAAAGAATTGTATTCATCATTGTTTGAAAGATGACAGATGCATTTATCAGACTGAATGACATTATCAGGAATTCAAACTTTTCTCATTGTTTATTAAACACAGTTCATGAAACTGACAGTTCATCTACACAGATCTGTCAGTATTCTGAGAGAAGATCAATCTTTGATAGATATCAGGTATTTTCAATCATATTCAACTGGTATTGAATCTGTGACAGTGAATATTCATTCTTGATTGTAAGCTTATTAAGTGCTTGATAATTGATACACATTCATCACTTCTTATCTGTCTTTGTCACAAATAGAACTGAAAAGCCTCACATGCTTGATGAGAATTGTATAAGATTATGTTCTAGAAGGTCTGTGATCTGACACTTCTGTTATTTGAGATGCATTTGTGACAGCGAGTACACATTCTGATTGACTGGTTTTGCATTCTCTGTGTCAATCTCATGCATGAATTCTCATTCCAGCAGCAATTCTGATGAAAGATCTGTTTGAAAGATTATTATTATTATTATTCTTCAATTATAGATGTATGCAGTCAGAGACTATGACATCTACCTGAGAATCTTTAGTTCTCAGGGTTTTTCCTATATCTATAGAGTCAACTATTATACATTTATCAATTTCAAATATGCAAAATCAGAAAATTCCAGCTCAGAATACAAAAACTGTTTACAAATTGCAGTATTTCAACACCTTCTGATAGTTTGAAATCATTTGAAAATATTATGACAAAAGAAAAGAGAACATAGTCTTAAAGATAGACACATTAAATAGATAGAGAAAAGAACAGAAGAAAACAAGTACAGTAAAGAGAGACTATAATAAAACAAAATTATAAAAGATGATATATAGCTGTTTAACAGACTATATCTAGTCAATTTCCTCTTCATATTCAGATACTTCTGAATTCAGCCATTTTCTTGTAGCTACTCTAGTTTCTGATAGAAAGTCTATTAAGTATTTAGTTCCTGTCTCAGTTGAGAATAAGAACCTCATATTTAATTGATTTAAATCATACTTTTTCTTTAATCTGACTCTGAGACTATTGTATAATGCACAATGCATTACAATATACTCAGGATTTTCATTCACATTGCAGAATGAGCACTCTGTTAAATCAAATCTATCATCAAATCTTTGTATATAAGATTTGAAATAACCATGTTCTAGTTTCAGCTGAATTATAGATGAGAATATTTTCTTTTTATATTTAATTGAACAAGATTTTCACTTTGATTTTGTCTCAAATCTTGAATAATGTATACTCTTCTTTTGTTTCTGCCAGCTTTCATTTCACTGATTTAAACAAGATTCTTTTATCTTTCTCTTTATGAAAGATCAGGACACTGTTTTTTGAATAGATCTGCTTAATTCTGAACTCTTTTTTACATCTGAATCAGCCTATTCATTGTCATGAATATACATATGAGCAGGAACTCAGTGCAGATGAATTATCAGTTTTAATGTTCTTCTCTTTTGAATTTTTAAAACAGAGTTTAAAATCAGTTTAAGATTCATTTGATCATTATGAATCTGACTATTTCTAAGTCTTTTTAAAGTGACTTGACTATCAGAGAATATCCATGTCTCTTTCAAATCATTTCCTCTTTTATGAGATTTTATTTTAATGAGTTTGAAAGCTTTCACTATTGCAAATACTTCAGCAGCAAAGACTTCAGATTCACGGCCTAAATTCCAGAAATCTGAGATAAAATTAATATTATCTTCAGTATAAGCAATGCCTGCGCCTAATCTATTCAAATTCTCATTTTTTGAGTCATCTGAGTAAATCAGAATAGAGTCTTTTATATTAATTGTAGAGATCTTCTTCAAATACTGTTCATATTCTCTCTCTTTAGATAGTTCACTTATTTGTAAGTCTATGAGAGATTCCAGCTTTTCTCTTCAGAGAGATATCTTCTCATGATCAATTTTCTCAACATTTAATGAAGAAAATTGATTCTTAATAAGTGAACATAGTCTATACAGTTGAGAGGGCATTTTCTTTAAAGTATTATTCTCATTTCAATCAAGAAATCTATTTCAATCCAGTTCATTTCCTGAGTTAACTGATGAAAATGAAGAAGAGACTCTTTCTCTGATTATATGATTTAAGCTCATCTTAATGACTCTCAGAGCATAGTTCATACAGTTCTTTTCAAATCAAATAGCAGGAGATAGAATTGAAGCTTCAATTTTCATTGCTTTAATAGAAGATGACTTGAATGCTCTCAGAATTCTTCTCAAAGCTCTGTTTTATAGATTTTGAAAGAGTTCAGTGAAGTTTCCTTGATTATTTTATCAAACTTGAACTTCATAATCAGCTACTGAGATAATACAGGCTATGTATAACTGTCTCATAGCCTGAAAGGATAGACCTCTCTCAGTATTTGATAGTCTGATTATACTATTCAGTAGTCTCTCTGTCTTGATGATTCTTTATTGAATATAATATTTAAAATTTAACTTGAAGTTTAATCATACTTCTAGTCATTTGATATTCAAACTGAGTTTAATCTCTTTATTCAAAAGAGTTAGACTTAGTTCTTTCTCATTAAATCTGAAAAAAAAGTGAATTAGCTCAGTTTTATTCACATTAAATTGAATTAGATTGATATCTGCTCTAATAAAGATTTTCTTTACTGCTTTCTCAATTACTTCTAAATTCTCTTTGATTGTCTTTGAACTGTAGAGTAGATCAATATCATCTATATAACTTGAAGATCTCACTATTTTCATCTCTCTATTCTTGAATAGATATGCAGTGTATATTGCAAATAAAACAGATGAGATTGAAGATACTTGTGATACTTCTATTTTTATCTCAGTTTTATCTTGTTTTCTTCCATTAAAAAATAGTTGTATAATTCTTTTAGACATGAAACAATTGACTCATTTTATTAGAGAAAGTTACAGTTTTAACATCTTCAAAGTTTGAATCATCTTAGACTTTGAAACATGATTAAATGCATCTTTTATATCAATAAAAACTGCAGTTGAGACCAGATCTTTATGCTTTGCTACTTGAATATTATGAATAACTGAGAGAACAGTATCAATTGCAGAAAATTATTTTCTATCTCTCATTTATTCATTAAATAGAAGAGAATCACTAATAGAGCTTATAAAAGATAATCTAGTAGCTATTATCTTTTCTAGAATTTTTCTTAAACAGTTCAACAGAGATATTACTCTATATGACTTAGAAATTGAAGCCTTTCTATTAGACTTTGTAAGAATTACTTCAGTAGCTTCTCTCCAGCATTCAGAATGATAATCATTTTTTAAGAGATTAAAAAAGAGCTCAAAATATTCATTCTTCAAGTAGAAATATATGTTTTGAATAATTGAGTGATTAATTGAATCAGGCTCTGCAGCAGTTTTAATTGAACTTGAGAATATTGATGACTCTAGTTCATCATATGTAAGCTCAGACCATTCTCAGTTATTTTCATCAATATATTCATGAAATGATATATTCTTCTCTTCTAAATGTGATGAGTTTTGAAAGAGAATTCTCATAAAAGCTTGACATTTTTTCTCAAAAGAGTTTGCTGTATATAATTCATTCTGAAATTCATATTCTAAGGTTGAAAGCTTTGCTACACTTCTTGTTTTAGTATAGTTGAAGACTTTGAAAACTTCTTTTTCTTATGCTTCTTCAAGAAATCTTTTCCAGTAATCTGTTTTGGCTTTTTTAATATCTGAAAAATATTCATTTTGAATAGCTTTGAACTCTTCATCAGATATTAAGTGATTCTCTCAATCTCTCTTAGCAGTAGCTAATTGCTTTCTTTTAGAAGTGATATTCTCATTTCATCAAGATTTGAAATACTCAGAAGACTTTTTCTTTGAAATATTTTCTTCAATACTTGTTAGAAGAATAGATGTAATCAGCTTTACTCTATTCTCAAGCATTTCATTTGAGATATCTTGACTTTGATTTCAATAGAGCTCACTCTGTCTTTCAGATTTCAGCTGTTTTACTCTTTCTTCAACTGCTTTTCAATCAGCTTTTTCAAAGTTATACTGATTGAAGAGAAGAGGATTTTCACTTCTTTGTTTTTCACTCAGTATAATATCAAATTGAATGATCTCATGACCTGATTCTGAGGTTTCATTTGAATCAATAAACCAGTTTATAAGTCTTTTTTCAATTAGATTTTATAACATGAAAGTTAGATCTATAATAGATTTCTGTTTCATGTCTTTTCTAAAGAATGTTTGTTGATCAGACTTGTTAACTAAATCTATTAAATGCTCAAAAGTTCATTCAAACAGTTTATCTGCTCTTACTGCTCTTGTGCACTCTGAGTTCTATTAGAGATGATGTGCATTGAAGTCTTCTGCAATTATAGAGTTTTTTAAGAGAGTTATATTCAAAAATCCTCTATCAATTGTTCAGGTATTGTTGTTTTCTTTCAATGATTTTTCATTATAGATATTTATAAGTTGAATAGTATCAAACTCATTATCTTTATCTATAATGTCACCTACTAGAATCTCAGAGTCAGATATGATATCAAATCTCAGATTAAATTGATATCTTGATCTTTTTCTCTCATAGATTGCTACTCTTGATTTTATCTCAGATCTTTCAGAAAGAAAGCAGTAATAGCTTGAATGAGAAATGATGTACTTTTGCTCAGTATCAAAGTTTGTTTCTTGAAGAAGTACAAAGTTAACTTTTTATTCAAATGCAATCTGAAGACAAGAATAAATGCAATTTGAGTTTCTATTCACATTGCTTTAAATAAATGTGATTTTTAAAGAGTTTTTAAATTTTTTTTGTTGTTTTTGTTGTACATTCATACTAAAAGAGAGTGAAGATATAGTAGAATCTAATCACTATCATCAGATAGTAGATTATAACTATTTTGAAATGCAGGAATCTCAACTGCTTGCATTCTATCTAGTTTATCACCAGAGTCATTTCTCAATTCTCTAATCTTAACAGGTGTTTGAGGATTCAAATTCTGTTTACATTTAGCTGGAGAATTGGAGTTTGAAGATCTAGATAGTTGAGAGTTTCTTCTTTTTAAGCTTACAGTTGTGGATTTACTAGCTTGACTTTTCTCTTCAGTTTTAGATTCACTTTGAGCTTCATCTTTTCTCCAGTTCTTCTGAGTTCTTGGAGCAAATACACATTCTTTTGAGCTAGATGCATGTTTTTCTTTGCAATTGAAGCACTTAAGCAGAGTATGTTGACATATTTCACCTCTTTTTGAGCATGTTTCACATTAATGCTCACTAGTTTTGTGATCTCTAGCACAGAATGCGCATTTTGAGTCTCTGAAATCTGTTTGAAAGATCTTTTCATGCTTCTTCAGAAGCTTCATCATACACTTGTTCTTTCATATATTCTTTTTCTTGGTTTTCTCCACTTCCAGATTCTGTATGACATACAGAATGCTCTCAGATGAGGTCTTGTAAATTGTTCTCTTTGCTTATTGATGCATAAGCAGATTTAATTCTTCTATATCAGAGACATTAAATGTTCTTCTCATATCAGTTAATAGAATTGTATGAACTGTTTTCTTCCTATCAGTCAACTGCATATGACATGTACATCATTGAATCTGTGAATTGAATCTTTGAAATCAATTGAGTCTGAGAATAAGGTTATATTTCACATTCTGTATCTCTTGTGCTCAAATATAGCAAGACTATTCTTCAAAGTGCAAGGGAACTCTTACTCTTGCAGATGATATCAAATATCAGTTATCAGATAATCTTATATGTAAGAAATGCTTCACTCAGCAGACTTCTTTCAGTCTTTGAATTATATGATTATTAATATATTGTATAGAAGCTTCTGTGTCTGCTAACACTTTTACAGTCATCTTTCAATTCTTATTCAAGTGTCTCTTATACATTAACATTTCAGATCTTAAGATATTGAGATGAGTATCTGCTTTATCATCCTTGTCTGCACCTCATTCAGAAGCCTGCTTCTTCTTGACATTCACAGAATTCAGAGAGTTATCTAATACAGATATCTCTTTCACTTTGAAGACTTTTTATAGAATATCAGTGAGTGTCTCTGAGCTCACTGATTCTGCTAGTTTTTTAACTCTCTTACTTCTCTTGACTGTGCATGCTGAGTGCAATCTTTTACATCATGATTTTAGTATCTACAGTTGAAGTAAGCTTGATGCTTATAATATCAAGATTTTCACTCAGAGCATTTCTTTTTCAGAGGATTCAACACTTTAGTGATGATATTCAGATCTAGATTTATTATATCTGAGTGTGTGACTTGTATTATAGAAGTCTGATTATCTGTTCTCTGCTGAGACATACTCAATTGCAGTATTTTCTATCATAATTAACTTACTTATTTCTGTATAATGAGAATATTATACACTTCTTTCACTGTGTCTGATTGTGAGGTTAAGCATTTGCATTTCACTCTCAACTCAGATGTAAGATCATGAATGAAGATCTATAAATAGAAAGATGTTAAAAGCTCTTCATTCAACACAAGATAGTATAAGCTGAAGTATGTGAAGTATGATGTAAGATTACTCACTTATCTACACTTAGTAAAGTGTTTGTAATATTTGTCTCATATATTCACTTTCTCAAAGTTCTGTAAGATTCATTTGAAAAACTCATTTCATGTTCATGAAAATGAATATTACTTCAGATCTGTAAGATTCATCTTTTCATCAGTTATTTATAATGACTTTGCCTTTTCACATAGAAATACAGCAGATGTTAAGACTTATTGAAATTTCATTGACTGTCTGTCTGTAAGTTCACATTCAATCTGATAATATAATCATATCTGACTTAGCTAGCTGATTAAAGCATTATTTTTTCAGTTATTATTGAAGCTTGATAGCTTCAGCAGATCTTCTGACTTAATATATCTTATGCTTAGATTCTCATTCTGCACAGTGATCTCTGATGATCTGTACACTTCTGAAGAGATTATAAACAATTATGATGAGATCTTCAGATTCAGTATAGTTATCTATCTATGTAAATGTTTAATCTTCTGCTGCAGGCCTAAGATCTGGTTTTCTCTATTCTTATTAATGATGATAATTGCATCAGTGAAGCTCTTCAGAGTGAATACTTAATCTGCAGTGAATGTCAATTGTTATTTGACTTTCACCTCAGTCTGTCACTGTATACATAAGATCTCAATCTTGTTTAGAATTCTTATACATATACAGAGCTTTGATTCTGATACAGCAGTTTCAGCTGTTTTTCTTACTGCTTTAAGTAAACTCTCTGAGAGATTCTGTATATCTTTCAGTTCAGATAGCAGAGAAGAGTGATATTTATATTAACTAGAGAAGATATTCATTTCAGTGATTTCTCATTGATTGTATGATGTCTATTATTATATCACTATATTATTGTATCACTATATTATTATATCACTGTATTATTATATGATTTCTGTTATCATTGTACAACTTCAGTGATAGTCATTCTTCTCTTTTATTCTTCTTTTGAGTAGGGAGCAAACTTCTTTGAATCTTATTCACTGCTCTCATTCTCTTTCTCACATCTCATCTGTTTATATACCATACATGGCATTTGCCTGAGTGTGAAGTTTTCCCTCTACAAGTAAAGCAGTATCAATTGAATGCTCTTTCACTCACTGCTCTTTGTATACTATCTTTTTAAGATGTTCTAGAACCACACTGGCATAATAACTATGAATCACTTTGTAAATGAAATTATCACACTCTGAAGAAGCCTGCACTTCTCACCAGTTTTTAGACATGCTATCAGATGTAATTCAAAGATGGCTTGAGTCAGTGTATAATTACAGATGTATGCTGGCTAGACTGGCCGCCGGGACCATGAATTTCACGTTTGGTCCCATTTGGTCTGGTCCCATACATTTCTTGGCGTGAATCCCGCTGGGACTGGCTATCAAAAAAACATGCAAAGTGACTATATCTCAGATTTTAAAATGAGACCATGACTTGAAAAAAATGAGAAAGTAGTCCCATTTGGTCCCATTTAGTCCCATTCTTGGCATAAAGTTACTATTTTTAGACATTTTAAGGTTTTTTTTAGACTATTTTTAATTTTTTAAAAAGTAACACTTTTTGGTAACACTCAAATGAGATTTAAAGTCATTTAAAGCCATAAAAATAATTTAAATTGAGAAGTGAAAATCATGGTCTCATTTGGAAAATGTGACAAGAGTAGACAGTAAGTCTCACTGGGACAGTATGAGACTACTATCTAATGTTAAAACCGTGTAATGGGATCAGTCGAATTGGTAATGAGACTATCAAAAAATCTGGTCCTGGTCCCAGACACGGTCACACGATCAGTCTAATGCTGGCTTCTTATATATTGTACACTAAATTAATTAGTGTCTGCTATGACTCCTTTACATTCGTAAGCAAGTTCAGAAGCGGCCGCGTTATTATTCAACAGTCGTACATTCTTCTGAATCACATACATTAGTAACTCTTCTGCTGCAGCCTCTATTCTCTTTGCAAAGAAATCAGATGAAAAACTCTTATTCTGTGTGAATTATTAAGAATTGAACAGATTAACAAAGAAGAACTATTATTCTTTATCTCTTATCAATGAAACTCTAGCCTGTATTGAATAAGCTCAATAATTTACAAGAATAGATATCATTGCTGCATTTGATAAGATCTGTATTGCTGAAAAAGATGAGTAACTGATAGTATTTCAAACATAATATAATCTAGTGAAATAAGTAGTCACACTCTTCAAACTGACTAATGCTCTCACTACATTTCAGAAGTATATTAACTGAGCATTTCAAGATTTTCTTGATGAATTCACATCTATATATCTTGATAATATTCTCATCTTCACTGATAAGTTTAGGAAAGAATATCAAGAACATGTATGAAAGATATTATAATGACTACAGAAAGCAGAACTATCAATAGATATAGACAAGTGTGATTTTGAGATTAAAAGTATAAAATATCTAGACTTTATTGTGGTTTGGAAGAACATACTACCGTCGGATAATAACGCGGCCGCTTCCGAACTACTAGCGTACGAATGTAAAGGGGGCTCTAGCGGCCACTAATTAATTTAGTGTACGAGATTCAATATATAAGAAGCCGGCGTACGCTTGTAATCATACACTGGCTTAAGCAACCTTTGAATCACATCTGATAGCATGTCTAAAAACTGGTGAGAAGTGCAGGCTTCTTCAGAATGTGATAATTCCATCTACAAAGTGATTCATAGTTATCATACCAGTGAGGTCCTAGAACATCTCAAAAGATAGTATATAAATAGTGATGAGTGAAAGAGCATCTGATTGATGCTGCTTTGCTTGTTAAGAGAAAACTCCACACTCAGATGAATGCCATGTATGCAAACAGATGAGGTGTGAGAAAAGAAATGAGAGTGATGAATCAGATTCAAAGAAGACCACTCTTCACTTAAAGAAATAAAAGGAAGGGTGGTCATCACTGAAGTTGTATGATGATAACAGAAATCATATAATGATATAACAATAGACATTGTATAATTAACAAGAAAATCACTGAAATGAATATCTTCTCTAACTGATATGAACAACACTCTTCTCTGCTATCTGAACTGAAAGATATGCAGAACCTTTCAGAGAGTTTACTTAAAGCAGTAAGAAAAGCAGCTGAAACTGTTAAACCAGAATCAAAGCTTCATACACATACAAGGATTCTAAATGAGATTAAGGTCTTATATATGCAGTGGCAGACTGAGATGAAAGTTAAACAACAATTGACATTTGCTGTGAATCAAGTATTCACTATGAAGAGCTTCACTGATGTAATCATCATCATTAATAAGAATAGAGAAAACCAGATCTTAGACCTGCAGCAGGAAATCAAACATTTACACAGATAGATAACTATACTGAATCTGAAGATTTTATTACAATTATTCATGATTTCTTCAGAAGTGTATATATTATCAGAGACTGCTATGCACAATGAGAATCTGAGTATGAAATATATCAAGTCAGAAGATCTGTCAGAGTCATTAAGCTTCAATAACAACTGAAAAAATAATGCTGCAATCAGCTGACTAAGTCAGATATAATCATATTATCAGATTGAACATGAACTCACAGACAGATAGTTAACAGAATTTCAATAAGTCTTAAGATTTGCTGTGTTTCTACACAGAAAAGTGAAGTTATTATAAATAACTGATAAAAAGATAAATCTCACAGACTTGAAATGATATTCATTCTCATAAATATGAAATGAGTTTTTCAAATAAATCTTGCATAACTTTGAGAAAGTGAATGTATAAGATAAGTATTATGAATACTTCACTGAGTATAGATAAGTGAATAATCTTACA